ATATATGTCATTATCATTCATATCTCTTATCTCATGTTCCTATGATCTTTTATGTCCATATTATATATCTGATAGACTTATTATTATATCATCATGTCAATCAATTATACTCATTCACATATACCTTAACATGTACTCACGTATACCATATAATATATATATATATATATATATATCATGTTATGCAAAACATATATACTATCGTAAATCAAACACACAAGCAACTATATCATCATCTTCATTCTTATCACTATCATTGATTCCTTTTATCATATAATCTTATAATTACCATTTGTACCATCATATATCACACATAACATTTTATAAGGAAACAAACATATCATCATATCCAGTTTATTAATATTATCTCTTTATTAGCCCATGGTACACATGTGAGAACTGTAGATACGTGAGTCTATTGAGGTTGTGCACCACTATGCTGTCACCACAGCTTGTATAAATGTCCTGAATGACCTATCCAGAGGTCACAAAGATCCTCGGTAACTATCCAGAGGTCATAAAGATCCTCGGTAACTATCCAGAGGTCATAAAGATCCTCGGTAAACTGTCCATATGTCTCGAAAGACATAGGTAAACCCTCGACTCTTGGCATGCCAACTATACCCCTAGCTCTCATATCATATAACATGAGCATTATCATTTATAACATTTCATATCACTTGTTATTTCTCTTCTGTCACATACCACATGTATGTGTAACCATATATCTCATATCATATCACATGTATCACAAGTGCATGTATTCACGTAGATCGTTTCATATGACTTATATCATTTCTCATTTGTTCATGTAACTTGCATGTCATAACATGTAACATATAACACATAATCATATAGGCTCACGGTTTTATCACCTATCATGTTATTTCACATATACACTTTTATATCACATAAACTTATATATATCATGTCACATATAATAACATATAACACATATACCCATAACTTCATATCACATACTTATATCAATTCACACTTAGTCACATGGGTCATTTCTCATAACATATATCACATCACATATGTTCATGGGTATATCCCATAGCATATAAAATAACATATAAACTTATATATGTATTCATGTGTATACTTTCATTTAGCCTATATATCAATAGGGATGGCAATGGGTCGGGTCGGGTTTTTGGGCCACCCGACCGACCCGAGAAGAAAGGGTTTTTCACCCGTGACCCGACCCGACGAAATTAAGGTTTCACCCGACCCGACCCGACCCGAATATATGACTTAAAACCCGACCCGACCCGACCCGAAATAATAATAAAAAAAATTATTCAATGAAAACAGTGACTTAATTGAAAAAAATTATATATGGAGGGACATTATTGTAATTATCCCTAAATATATAGGATAAAATTATATATATTTTTCGGGTCGGGTCGGATTTTTTTCACCCTAAACCCGACCCGACCCGAACCCGAAATTTTTTTAAAAAAATCCGACCCGATCGGGTCGGGTCGGGTCGGAACCCGTCGGATTCGGGTTGAGTTGCCATCCCTATATATCAATGTCATATAACTTATCTCATAACTTATTTGATGTCATATATATTCTCATCTTATAACTTATATTACCTATGCATATAACCTTATGACTTATTATCAAGTACCCAATTAATGTTCCTATATGGTTCCATATTTATCATATAACATATGAGCTATTCTTATATTACCCTATATCGACCATACTTTGTTTATCTCACTTTTCATATAATTCATTTATCACATATATGTCACTTTGCTTATAACACTTCTCTGGTTTTCATATGACATGTAAATCATTGTCGTCTCTTGTTCTCATATAATTCCATATAGTCACTTATCACATAGTTTACATCCTATGATCATATAATCATATCAATAACACATATACTCATGCACACATATAAATCATAACAAACACATACCTCTATTAATTCATGCATTTTACTATTGGAAATAGACTTATCATAAGTCTTATTTTCCATTTAACATCATATACTAAATAATGTGCACTCACCTTGGCCTCACTAAGTTTCAATCCACTTTATGATTTCTTCTCTTTCGATTGAATCTTAACTTGATACACAACCCGAAACTTGTTCGTGTTCGATATCTACATAATTTTACATTGATACATATCAGTATCCCATTGTTATAATCTAATCTATCATTTCTTAGACCAGAAGAAATGTCTATTTCAATTTCCCCTTGAAGTGCATTGATGCATGCTACAGTGCATCGATGCATTCTTTAACATGTGCATCGATGCACTACCCATGCATCGATACACAAATTACCTTCGATGTTTTCATTTTAAAGGGATGCATCGATGCACTCCTTATGCATCGATGCACCATTTGCATTCGATGTTTCTTTTTTAAAGAGTGCATCGATGCACATTGAATGTGCATCGATACACCTTGCACATAATTTGCATTTTAAGCCCGAAAATCCATTTAATTCAACTCAAATGCTTCATATTTCATCCCCTTTCATATTCTTTACTTACATATACATATTTGCCCTCATTTATACTCAATAATCACTTCTTTAACCTCCATATCCTATTCTCCTTAAAAAATTCAAGAATCATACCCAAATTTTAACATGTTACTTCATACATGTTAATTAGATTGATGACAAGTCAAATTCACTCTAAAACCTCATTAAAAAACCCTCTTTCAAGATTTCACTTATTCCTCTCTTTTCTTTAATCCCCTCTATTCTCTTCATCTTATTATTTCAAGATAATTTAAGCTCTTTTTATGCTTAATTATCACCTAATAATCAAAACTCAACCTTAAATTTCAGCTAATAATCAACAAATAAAGAAACTCACCTTTGCCTAGCTTGGGCACGTTGGAGAAGAAGAAAGCAAGTGAAGAAGAAGAGAGTTTTTATCTTCCTCTCCCCCACGTGTTAATCTCCTAATAAAGGGGAGAAAATATCTTTCCTTGTCAATTGACCATTTTACCCTTTACTTCATTTAATAATTACCAACAACTTTAATAATTTATTTCCAAATAAATCATTGAACTAATCCATGGTTCTACTCTAGTCACCAAATTTTGAAACTTTACAATTTGATCACTAACCCGGTATTGAGGATGTTACACTAATTCTTCGATTGTTCCGGAATAGGGCTACGTTCAATATCTACATAATCATACATTGATATATAAATCAGTATTCTAACTGTTATACTCTAATCTTTAATTTCTTATACTAAAGGAAAAATATATTTTCAATTTCCATTTGAAGAGGTATCGATACCTGCTATAGAGTATCGGTACTACCCTAGCTGAGGGTACCGATACCCCGAATTTACATTTGATATCACCCAGGTATCGATACCTCCCTTAAGGTATCAGTACCTAAATTATATTCGATAAATTGTCGTTCAAAGAGGGTATCGATATTGTTCTTCAAGGTATCGGTACCCCTTGAATTTCTTCTTTAATTTTACTATTGAGGTATCGATACCTGTTGAATGGGTATCGATACCCCCTTGCCCAAAATCACATTTTAAGCACGAAAATTACTTTATTCCAACTCAAACACTTTATGTTTGAACCCCTTTCACCCACTTAACTCAGGTATACATATATATACAAATTTCTAATAACTTAATACATCTTTATCCTCAAATTCTCATCCTCCATATGAAATTCAAGATTCCTACCAAATTTTCTACTTGTTCTAAATTCAATTCTAACACTTCATATCTCTTAATTGGGTTGATGAAAAGTTAAATTTGATCTTGAAATATAATTACTACTTCTCTACCAAAATTCCATTTAAGAACCCCTCATCTTTAATCCTTCCTACACCCTTCATCTTGTCATTTTAAGACAAATTAAACTTTCCTTAAGCTTAAGTGTCATCTAATGATCATAAACCAACCTTAAATTCAACAAGAAATTAAATAACAAGAAATCTCACATTTGGCTTGGTTCTCACGTATAAAGAAAGATGAAGAAGATGAGAACTCTGGAAACTTGTTTTTGGTTCCTTCACTTCCACGTGGGTTAATTTAACACCCTAACCCAATAATTATCTTGCTATCAAATGACCTTTGTGCCCTTCTATTCCTCATTCTTTACAATTTGATCCTATACAACCTTTCCCATATAAGTCCTTAAACTATTTAATTATTATACTTTAGTCACCAAATTCTAAAGTTTTACAATTTAGTCACTAACCCGATATTGAGGATGTTACTACTATGGTACTCCATTGAGACTAATCTGATGATTTGTTGTCACATCACACTCCTCATAACATGTAATTTGCGAATATAAACACATTCTGAATGCTAAGCTCGCAAGTTTCCCACCGCACAATATCTATATTATACTACATGCATTCATAACATTAGCATGCCAATGAGTATGTCAAAGAAGCAATATCACCAATGTCATCAATGTTATCTAGCCATCTATCTCATGCATATCTACAACCATCTATCTCATGCATATCCACCTCACAATTCCATTCAAAATACAACAAGAAGGATGAGGCTTGGGTCACGGAGCTCAAACACTCAACCTATACACAATACCATATAAAGGATGAACCGAAATATTAATTTTTCCTAATATTTTTGGTTGAACAAAAAATGATAGAAAAAATTAACATTTTAAGTTGCAATAAAATTGTTATACTTTTTATTACATTTTCAGTTGCACTCATTTTCTATCGTTTCTTAACCTTAAATTAAACAATTTTATAACACAATTTCCCTTTTTATCGACTATATAAATTTTAAATTAGAATTAAATAATATTTTAAATTAAAACCAGATAATTGTTAAACCGATCACGCCGTAAATTAGCTGAAAATTATAATCCAATTTTTTTTTAGCATTACTCTACAAATTTTTTTTTTACCGGGAATGAAAAAGTTTAAAATTTTGGGCGCTAAAACCCAGAAAAAGAAAATCAGATAATTTACCGACCACAACTATGAGAGATCAAATTCAAAAATTCTAGCAATTAAACATGGGAAAAGAAGGAAGAAGAAGAAGAAGCGAAGAAAAAATGAAATCAAAGCAAACTCCAACACGGGGTTTTGGACAGTACTCTATTGCTTCATCATTTCTCTCACGTTCTTCCCATCCGTAAGCACAACTCAAAACCAGTCCTATCTCTCTCTAATATATATTTTTTAAGTTTGAGATTAATTTACCCCATTTTTCGTTTTGGGGTAAAAATTGTATATAAAATTAGTTCTAAGGAAGCAAAAAAAGATCTGGGTCACAAAGCTTCGCACAAGCTTGCGTCATTATCAGATTTTCTAAACCAAAAGCTACCCACACGTTCTGGTGTTCCCAAAACTGTTCAGGTATTTTTCCCCTTTTATTTTCTTAATTTGGGTTTCCCAGAAAATGGATTTTTTTTTAAATTTTCTTGATTATATCGAATTTCTTGATGACCAAGACTTGGAACATCTATGGAGTAATTAGTTCAAACTTATTATAATGCCCAAATTTTGGTAGGAGAAATCAAGACCCTTTTCATCGTTATTGTCCCCAAATGAAGGGAAATCCATTGATAAGCAGAATGGAAGAAGGAAAGAAGATGAAGCAGAGAAAGATGATGCTATTAATAAAGTTGTTTTCGAGCAGTTCAAGCAAGATAACTCTCAGAAAATAGGTTCTACATTAAGTTCAAGTGTTATTGGTGAAGAAGAAAATCCAGAGAATTCAAGAAAAAGACGGAATCCATTTGAAGGTATTCAATGATGTGTTCTTCCTTTTTCTTGTTTCTTAGAGAACAACCTTTGATTTTCATTTGCTAGTGAAATGGACATGAACAAATCTAGAGCTTGAAATTTTTTTAACAAGGATAGGTTAATTAGCTTAAGATGTCACTTACTCGTGAGTTTATTATTTGATTATTCTTGCTGGAATATGACCGTGTTATCTAGACTCGAAAATTAGTGTTAGCAGGGATAGAGAGGGGGATTCGCGGAGACAATTATATTACTAAAAGTTTTAAATTATCATGTAATTTAAATGTTATTTTTTTATATTTTCTATTGGTAATTTGTTTTCTTTCTAACCTAAAATTTTGCGTCTATCCTTGAGTGTTAGATATTTGATCTTGATCTGATCAATATTTTTCTGTTTTTCATATATACGAAGTATTATAGTTTACACTTATGCTCGAATATGTTTCTAACAAAATTGTTAGACAATTATAAAATGAAGAGTTTTAATGATGTATAGATGAAACTGTGTGGATTACCAGGTATAGATGAAAAACCCAGAGCACGAAGCCTTTTCTAGTTCTAGGAGAGGAAGACAATCCACAAAACATGAAGAAAAGAGGAAAAAAGGAGTGTTCTACAAGCAACAAGGAATCAAAACCCCATTATAATCACTGTAAGTAATAAGTATGCTCCAATGTTCTAAATTTTATTCAATTAATCAGATAGAGCCTTTGCCGACGCATGTTGAGTATTGCATATAGGTTTATGTTTAACTTTTTCTATGTTTGGACGTGTAATTAGAGGACCTTAGGAGAGGTTTATTTTCATATTCATTTTGGCATTCCCATTAGACATGAGGTGTCGAGTCCTAGAAAGGTTTGCTTGTTTGTAAAAGTTGTGGAATGTGGTGACAGATGCAAATGGGAGTGGGTGGTGGGACTGTGAGATGGAAGGTGTGGACAGTGAGGAAGTTGGATATGGCGAAGTATGGGAAGGGGTCGGCTCGACGACTTTCGGCGGAATAGTAGATTGGCATTGATGATGATGTCAACTGATGTTAACAAATGTTTACTGCTTTGTTAATGATGATTAGAGTCTCAATCTTTTCTATGTTTATATTATCAGTATGTATAACTTCTCCTTTTACGTAACCTTATAGTGATTGGTTGGTGGACGTCCTTTGTCTGATGAGGTTGCGTTCTAAGATTCCTCGTCCATATAACTTGTTTAAGGCATTTTGAGTTTGTGCATATATTAAGGATGGGTACGGGTAGGGTTGCACAAAAGTCGGATTTCAATCCGATCCGGATCGGTTTTTATTCGATCCGGTTTTTTCTTAAAGAAAAAAAACCGGTTTATAAAATAACCGGCTCGGTTTCTAACCGGTTTGGAGGGCCGGATATCCTAACCGGTGTAACTAGTTTCGGTTTTTAAAAAACCGGTTTTTTTAAAAAAACGGTTATAAAAAACCGATTTTAATATTATTAAAATTACATCGTCATCAATTGCAACAAAGTTTACGATAATTGAAATACTTAAATACTTCCAAGTTTGATAAATTCAAATACTTAAAAACTTCTAAGTTCGATAAATTGAAATACTTAAAAACTTCAAGTTCGATAATTGAAACAAAGTTTACGATAATTGAAATAAAGTTTAAAAACTCCAACTTATTTATACATGTTTAGGGTGGTAAAATGTAATTTTTTAAAGCAAAAACGGTCACAAAACCCCCAATGGCTATATTAACGGCTAGTTTTTTAAATCCAGACCGGTTTTTTTCGGATAAAAACTGGTTTTTTATCCGGTAAAAAAACCGGTCTAGGTTTTTTTTTCCAAACTGGTTAAAATAACCGGTTTAAAAAAATCCGATCCGGTTAAAAAAAACCGGTTTTTCCCAAATCCGGTTTCGGATATTTTTTTCGCAAAATCGGATATTCGGATTTTTTGTGCATCCCTAGGTACGGGATTCAAACTTTACGAGTTCTGATTCAATTCTATCCTATTGAGTCTAAATTTTTATAAGATACATTCGAGTTGGATTGTGTTTGAATTTAAAATAAAAAAAATACTTGATCTGATGTAAAAAATAATATAATTATACCTTAAGATTTTCAATTGATATTTTGTAATGTTTGGGCTTCCAGCCTTCTAAGATTTTGGTATAATAAAATTAAATTGCATCGAATTGATTTATTTACATTTAATTGATTTGAAATTTTAATTAAATCAGATTAATTGGTATAATTTGAATTTAAACGGGATAAATTGAATTTTTAAAAACCATTAAACTCAATACCTTGATCTATTTTCTTCATGTAAAAAGTCCAAATTATTTTCACTTTATATGCTATTTTTAAATGCCTAAATCCAATATTTATAAGCAACAATCAACTCAAAATTAATTTAAATCATTTACCACAACTCAACGCCCATTTGACATTTTATCAAAGTAATATATATATATGTATAACCTTCTCGTTAGCTCGATAAAATTAGTGTCACCGATTAATTGGACATCAACTTAATTGAAAATATATTGAAAAACCATTCTTTTAAATATTAAAAATATATTATTATAATGATATTTTTGTTTTTCTTACTTTTCCCAATATTTTTATATAATCTTGAAACTCTTATTATCAGTGTAGTTATAACATTTCTCACTGGATCTTAAGTACAAACAATACGATTATTAGTTTCAAATTATGCGTGTGAGAATTACACTCATATGGTTTCAGCTGTTTAGATGCATATGCAACCACCTTATCATTCTACATTGACACGCAATTGAGATCAGTGTGAGAAGCATCATTGTATATAACATAATCTTTCTCCGACTCTGATTAAAATAAATAAGTTATTTAATATAGATTTTAGCTTCTCGAATGTTAATTGCTTTTCAATCTATTTCAGAGGTGCATTCTTTCTTAATAACTTTTTTTTTTTGAAATAGGATACTTTGTATTAAGGACATAACAAAGTACACCACCTCAAGTTCCTCATTAAAAAAACCTCCCTAATCTTAAATGGAAAAATCCTCCATGAATCTATAATAGTACCTAATTAATCCTAAGAAACTATAAATTTCAAAAACATTCTTAGATTGCTTTTATTCCAAAATGACCACTATCTTATGTGACTCAACACAAATATCTTTAGTCGACATTACATGACGCAAGTCGGATAAAAATTCTAAGGTCAGAGTACAATAAGGCCCCCTTAGAAATTTGATGAATCCAGAGGCATATCTCAATTGGGAAAATAGAGTAGATCATATTTTCGATTGCCGCAATTATTCCGAATAAAAAAAAGGATAAAATTGACAGTAATTGAATTAATTTATTATACTTTAACATGGTGAGATCAATTGATTGACCTCTAACAAAAGAAGAAACGAAGAAAGACCTATGACACTTGGCTAGAAATGAAACGCATCAATGGAAATTCCTCCTGATTTCCCAATCAAATGGGTTGAAACATATTATTCTCGTATTCATTATAGAGCTATCAGAATAGCTCTAAATTATCATTACACGAAAAGGAAAATAGTTGTAGGAAAATTTGCTTTATTAGATACAAGATACTTTAAGCACCAAGATACTTATATTGATATTACTGAAGTAACTTTTAATTCAAGTCTTGTGATAGTCACACTCTTTTGAAATTTCTCAATAATCTTTGTAGATCCAAATCTTTAAGTTCAAATGGTTGGCGGAATCAATTATTATTATCATATAGTTGGAGCCACACAAGTGAATTCAGAAAGATTTCATTAGTCAAAAACTTAATTAATACAATTTTAAATTTAGTGACTTAAATAGTATTTTATCTGAAATATTTATTTAATATTTTATTTAAAAGGAGAAGCAATTCATGTTGCGTTGTTGGTGAAAACCCATCTCTGTGAATATTAAGTCGGTTCCCATCTCTCTCATGATCTCATATATAGTATTTAAATTATCCTTTGGTAGTGGTAGATTGGGTAATAAAGAATGGTCACTCTCAAGCCTCAACTTTCTTCTTTTGTATTTAATTCCCATCGGACCAAATGATATGAACGTCCTTTTGCCACACCATACTACTCTTATTGCATCTTTCATTTTAAAAAAATGTTCTCAATTGAATTTTTTTATCTATTTTAAGTTGTGGTTCAATGCTCATTAAGAGTAAAGTTCTCATTCCTCCTTCCCTTAGATATAAATTATTAAAAAAATATTTTATTTAAAATATTTTCAATTGTCAAAAATCTCTAGATCATGCGGTTAAATACTCTCAGTTGACACATCCATGATTGTAAGTTCAATATCCATTTGGAGCAAAAATTATTCTTCCTCTCCCCTAGGTAAGAATTACTCAAATATATATATATATATTTTCAATCCTGCACGAACCAAGCGACCTCAGTTGTTGAGGAATTATTATTACTATTTTAGGTCTTAAGTTCAAGTACCATAATGATAGGAGCGTTCAATATCAAATAATTGAATCTTTAAATAGATACCATCTTATATTCACTCTAAACTAATAAAAAAATATTTTCAATCCTTATTTAATCCGTTAAAAACTAATGAGTAGATCAAAGACTCGACATTTGGTTTAAAAAAATGGTAAAATCTCCCACCTCAACCCTAAACCATATATATATACATATAAATGAAAGAAAAGGCAAGTGGTCTACTATTGTTTTTCTACGAAAAAGAAGGGATATGAAAAACGAGTTACGCAAGAAGCCTATACATGCTAGCATTAAAACAATTACACGTGATATCAATATTCTAGATCTTCTCATTTGTTTTTCCTATTATTTTCTTGTTTAATTTTAAATTTTTTCATAAATAATATTAGATCTCAATTACACTTTTAATTTTTTTTTTGATAATTTAAATCTTGAAGCTTTAAAAAATTTCAAATATATTTATTTAATGATCAACTAATGATAAATTGATGTTAATATTTGTTGAGTCAAACCCATTAAATCAAATAGTTAAAAGAAGTAAATTAATATATAAAAATTTTAGTAAAAACTTAAAAGAAAATTGAAAAATTTTGTGAGTTAAATTTTTGTAAACACATCTTATTAGAATTTATTGTTTACATGTTTTTTATCCTTCGAAGAGATGGAGATTTGTAAAGATTATACATGAGTATAAAAAAAGAATAAATTAACAAAAAATTTTAAAAAATCTTTAGTGTGAAGTTAAAATAATAGATATAAAAGTTGAACTATTATAGATCGTTGCGTAATTTTTTTTTATCTTTGTTCTTTCTACACCTAAGTTTTTAAAAGGCTAATTTATCCCTTTTGGCACATTTTCGATTGTTCATTAGAGCTTTAGTAATTCCAACAAAAAGGATGAGTTTAAAATAATGAATAGTTGAATGATAATTTTGTTATTTTTAATAATCGAATGACTTAATAAAATAATGCCTAATAGTCGAAAAATTAATTTATAACTTTTAATAATCATGAGACTCAATCAAACATTATTCTATAAAAACATATCATTTGAGCTGAATTGTTTCTACAGTGTTATGAAAAACGGTGGCTAAAGCAAAGGATAAGGCATACGAGAAAAAATACAAGAAATTAGACACCAAGGAAGGACAAAACGACATCTTTAGGCTAGCAAAATTCAGAGAGAATAGGA